AAATTGTGCAGCTGGAGGCCTAGATGCGCGCCCTCATGAAGAATGGGACCGAGGACACCAAGTTGATTGCAGTTTTTGGAGGTTTGGAAAGTATGGGGGACGAGTGGTCAGCATCCAAGTGGATAAAAGATCGATTGTGGGAGGGGTATGTTACGCCAGCTTCTGACTGCTTCGTGAAAGGGGAGTTCAAGGGGCTGTTGTTCGCAAAATTCCCTAATCAAGAAGATCGCGACACAGCGGTTGCGACGATCAGGAGCCTGAAACATGAGACAGCTGACGGGAAACGTGTTTGGGCCAAAGAAGAGCAGCCCCTAGGCACGCGCGTTGCACGCCAGGTTCTTTTCGGAGCGAAGTGGATGCTTTCACAGTGGGGGTTCGTGAAGTCTTCCATGTGGGTGGACGAGGAGGCCTTCACCCTGCACATGGGGGACCAGAAGGTCCTGGCGGCTGTCGTGGAGGAGGGGGCCCTCAAGGTTGAGTACGAGGCCGGGTGGGAGGGCTACCTGAAGAGCGAGGATTAGCAAAATATCCTCAAGGCCGGCCAGGACAAGCTCCTACGAAGCGCTGGGAAGAGAGGCGCTGGGAAAGGCGTTGGGAAAGGTAAGTCAAAACCTTCCCATCACTAGGAACTCGGACGGCGCATCGGCGTTTCACACTCTGGGGAGTTTTGCGCATCACTTGTTTCCCAAAATGGTGAGGTAGGTATTCATGCGACCGCCCTGGAGGTTTCACCAACCTTACCCTTGCCACCGAATGCTTTCCCTGACCGTTTTCAAGAACGACGGAACTGCCAAAGGCAATTCCGGAGCAGAACGACCCCAAGACCAATCTGCATGGGACGGCTTGCCTCATGGAACGTGGAGGGCCTTTCAGACGAGAAGCAGATGGACGAAACAAAGTTGGAAAATCTTGAGTTGGTTATGAAGGCAGAGAACATAGATGTGGTGGGACTCCAAGAAAAGCACTTGGCTGGTTCAGCATATTTTCTGCACAACGATTTCTTTGTCATTCTATATGGCGGGAGCCTGAATGAGAGAGAGCATGCCGAAGTAGGTTTCTTGGTGTCTCCTCGCGTCCGTTGTGCTGTATTGGGCTTCGCGCAACACAGTCCCAGGTTAGCGAGCTTGCGGGTCCGAGTTGAAGGAGGACGAATGTGTTTCATTACAGGCTATGCCCCTCACAACGGGCGCCCGGCTGAGGAGCGACAGGATTTCTTCAATGATTTGGAAGACGTTGTGCAGAAAACCAAAGTTCACGGACCTATTGTCGTGTGTGGCGATCTCAACAGCAGGATTCACAGACGAGGCGCTGCGGAGCACGACGTTCTAGGGCCTTACGTTGACGGCAATCGCGAAGCCAATATAGATGCTGCGAGCAATCGGGAGCTCCTGGTGGAAACCTGCAGGTCTATGAATATGGTCGTGGCGAACACCTTCCACGAGCGCCCCGTGCACCAACAAGTCACGTACTACGACATCTCTGCACGACCTATGGACGAAATCACGGCGAACAAGTTCGCTGAGATTGATCATTTACTTGTGCATGAAAAGTGGCTTGGAGTTATTCGCGCAGTCCGGAGCAGGCGGGACATTGCCCTGCAATCGCATCATTTCGTTGTCATCGCAGACCTAGGCGTGCACATCCCGAAGAAGCTTCCCAGGGAATCCCGGGATACGCGGGACACCCGGAGTCTCGGGGAGGCTGCAGTGGCGAAGAAATTCTGCGACTGTTTTGTCGAGTTGGGACAGGACATCTTGCGCGGCGCTGGAGATGGTTGCGTCGATGCACTGGCGGAGGAAGTGCGGTCCAACATGGAGGCTGCTGCAGATGCCGCCTTGCATGTTCGCCCAGTCACGGCAAAGCGGCCGTGGATTCGAACGGCCACGCTGGACCTCATCGAGCTGCGGAACAACGCACGGGTTCTGGGGCAGTTCGCACTGGAGGCCTCGCTGAACAAGCAGATCAAATCAGCGGCCAAGAATGACCGGGCAGCATGGTTGGAAGCAGACTTGGCGGACGGAGGTTGGCCTGCAATCAAGCGCCTTCGGAAGGGGTCTGCCCGCCAACAACAAGGCAGACTTCGCAATTCGGCCGGCGACCTGGTGGATTCCAGCGAGAGGGCAGACACTTTGGCGACATATTTGCAGAACGTGCAGTGGCAACGTAGTCCAGGCGCAGGTGTCGGCGTGCCAGAGGAGCCGAAACTTGGGGCAACTCTTGACATACCCTGCGGAGAGTTCTTGACAGCGGAGCTCAAATCAGTCTTGTCGAGGTTGCGGAGAGGCAGAGCAAGTGGGCCTGACAACGTGCCGCCCGATTTCTGGGCTGTGCTTGGCAGGAGTGCGGGCGCCCTCGACATATTGCTACGTTTGTGCAACCAGTGCTGGCATTCGAAGTCAATTCCACAGGACTGGTCGCACTTCTCAGTCACCACGCTTTTCAAGAAAGGTGACCCTGCGCTGCCTTCAAACTACCGTCCAATATCTCTACTGGCAGTTGGATACAAGGTGCTTGCGAGCCTCATCCTGCAACGACTGCGATTTGGAGGGGTGGAGGGCCGGCTCCGGGACAACCAGTTCGGCTTCCGACGTGGTCGCGGCGCCGACTTGGCCATTCTCACCGTGCAGCGGATGCTGGACGCCGCCCAGGATCTCAAGCATGGAGAACTGACAGTGTTGCTCCTAGATTGGTCCAAGGCTTTCGATCGCATCGACCCCGGCGCCATGCAAGTGGCGCTGACCAGGTTTGGCTTACCTGAGGAATACGTGGACATGGTCGCATCCATCTACCAGCACAGAACCTTCACCGTGCGCGACTCTGGCAATGAATCTGGTGCCAGAGAGCAGTCCGCTGGCATTGCCCAGGGCTGTCCGCTCTCGCCATACCTGTTTATCATCGTTTTGTCTGTCATCATGGAGGACGTGAATTGGGAGCACGCAGGCAGCTGGACAGATGACGTCGAGTACGCGGACGATACAGCATTGATTTGCAAGTCGTCCGCTTGTTTGCAGCACGCCCTCGACAGCCAACTCTCGCGGGCCGCCCCGTATGGATTGTTGCCTAATTGGGACAAGACCGTGGTGCTGCAAGTTGGAGATCCGCCACCCATTTACGATCCGAACGGCCAGCCCATCCCAAAGACAGAGCAGCACATCTATCTGGGCGGTCTGCTCACCACCAGCGGCAGTGCCAGGTGCGCCGTGGCACGCAGGGTGGGCGAGGCGCGCAACTCCTTTTCGCTTCTGACGAAGGTATGGAGCCATTCTTCGTTGAGTCGGGCAAGGAAGCAACGCATATACGAAGCGTGCGTCGTCGCCAAATTGTTCTACAGTTTGGAGACGGAGCGATTGAATAAGGCAGAGTTTTCTCGCATCAATTCGTTCCATGTGCGATGCCTGCGGAAGATATGGGGCATCCCGCATCCGATGATATCCCGGGTGTCCAACCAGGAAGTTCTGAAGACAGCGTCGTCGAGCCCGCTGGCAGACCAGCTAGTCGCCAAACAGATGTGTTTGTTTGGGCGGGTGGCCATGATGCCCGACGCATCTATCGCACGACGCTCCGTATTTCAACCTTCATCCACGATGTTGGCACGCCCAGGGGGCGCTCGAAAACGAGGGCGCCCAAGGGTGTCGTGGGGCCAGAGAGTCAGGGCGCATGCACTGAGCGCCGCGCAGCAGGACGAGGACCGGCTAGCAGCAACGCTGTCGAATGGTAGCGGCTCTTTCCAGAACTGGAGGGCCACTGTGCGGCAGCATTGCCGTTCTCTTTCATAGGGGCTTGCCTGCTTACTGTTGCCCCGCTCCGGTCCTCCCCCCTCTCTTCTCCCCCCCCTCCCGCGTAAGCTAAGCAAGCGAGTCGCTATGATGCTGCTTTTCTGTTTCACACACCATATGCACTGCAGCCGATGTGCCGTCATGGCACGGCTTCTTCTTTCGTTCGTTCCCGGCATACCGACGGCCCGAGACGGTCCAAGAGGCCACCAAATATCGCCCCAGAATCGACCAAGAGGCCTCCAGGAAGGCCCCAGAACGGCCCAAGAGGCCCCCAAGACGGCCCCGAGAGTTTGATTGCGAGGACGTGCGCATTCGTGAGGTTTCGGCTTGCGGCACGTGTTGCGCCCTTCCCGCAGCCTTTTAAACTCGGCAGCGGGTGGGCGGGATTCATTTTACTACAGCCCTGTGAGCAGGGCGAGAAAGGCGCGCGCCAGGGGCGCCTGCCACAGCACAAAAAGCATCGGGTGCATTCATCATCATCATCATCATCATCATCATCATCATCATCATCATCATCATCATCATCATCATCATCATCATCATCATCATCAGCATCATCATCATCATCATCATCATCATCATCATCATCATCATCATCATCATCATCATCATCATCATCATCATCATCATCATCATCATCATCATCATCATCATCATCAGCATCATCATCATCATCATCATCATCATCATCATCATCATCAGCATCATCATAATCAGCATCATCATCATCATCAGCATCATCAGCATCATCAGCATCATCATCATAATCAGCATCATCATCATCATGAGCATCATCAGCATCATCAGCATCATCATCATCATCATCATCATCATCATCATCATCATCATCATCATCATCATCATCATCATCATCATCATCATCATCATCATCATCATCCTCATCATCATCATCATCATCATCATCATCATGATCATGATCATGATCATGATCATGATCATCATCAACAACATCATCATCATCGTCTACGAATAGACACGAGTACCTGGGATCGGACGAGCCCTCGACTTCAGATTCGTAGCGGGAGCCGAGGTTAAGACCACGGCAAACAATGACGAGTGGAGCGTCATCTTCAGGAGGCGCAGCTGGCCTCCGCCTAGAAGCCTACTGTCGTGCAGGTTCGATGTTGGGCTCTTCAGCAAGAGCTGTAAGACGCAGGGCAGGTACGCGGTTGGGCCCCAGCATCTGAGGGCGCTCGGGGCAAGGACACGGCGACTAGCACAGGCGTGCCCCGACATCGACAAGATCGACGAGGTAACGGAGACTGGGAAGCTGACAGGTTGGAACCGTGTCTTCGATTTCCTTCTCTCCGAGCTCGACCTGTCCAATGTGAATGAGATGGGGAACTCAGCAGAGAAGTTCTTCAACAAACTCCAGCGGGAGTCCGGTGGGGTTACCCCGAATGGACAGCGCGCTGGGAAGCTCATGAGCGGGACTTCCTGTCACAATGGAAGGCGGCGGACGGCTCCGTGACGGAGGTCATCGCGGGACCGCTGAGGACGCGGCGGCAACTGCGCCGCTCAAGGCCGACGCCTGTTGCGCGCGGGGGAAATCGCGGCGACGGCGGGCGGCGACTACCATTTCGACAAGGCGTACAAGGCGCTCTGGAGTAGATACCCGATGGAAGCGCTGAAGGAACTGGACGGGGTCCGCGAGCAGTGGCGCGGGCTTCCATGGTGAGGCGGACGAGAATGGATACGACGGCCACGACGGTGATGATCGATCGGAGCTCGCAGACATCGCGGACCAGCTGGCGAGCTTGGCGGACGAGGGCGACGCGCTGATGTTCGACGGCACTGAGTTCCAAGACGAACCCGAGGACGGCAACTATGCAGAGTTCAAGCAGATGGGCCGGAAAGTCTGAAATGACTCTGGCAGGTCATATCGCATCCAATTCCATGTCGAAGGAATACGATATGGGGAGTGGATGGGTAGGATAGGATAAGATCGATGTAGTGATCTTTCCAGCACATAGCGAACACTAAGGTAAGTGTCCGGGCAAATAGGGCGCGCGTGCCTTGAGCCAAGACAGCGGCGCGCAGGCTATACTCCCGATCCTCTATGACATCTCCCCAAGAGCTACCCGTAAAGTCGGGGGGGGAGGAGACGGAGAGTAAAGCCGCGCAGCCGCTAGGCTCTAGAAAGGCCGCGCGCGCAACTGTTTGCAAGAAAAACAGTGCGCACAGTCTGGCCCACCACCAGACTGAAGGGCGAGATTATTCGCCGGCGAGTTTCCTCGCAAAGCTTTCCCACGCACACGCAGGATAGCCCCTTGGATATACAAGGGCTATCGGCGCGGCTAGAGGTAAGCCGAACAGGCTATTCTCCTCCAGGCAAAAGGGTATTGAGGCAAAGAGCCTGAAACAATCTGAACAGGCTCGCTGCCAAGCGTGAAAAGTATGGCTCGTTTCCGAGCAGATAGGAGGGCGCCCCTGTACTAGGCGCCCGTGCTGGCAAACTGGGCCGCGGAGGCAACAAGGACAGACTAAAACTGATTCGACTTAGGTTTGTTTTTGTCCTCGGGCCCCCCAAAGGGGACAAACTGCTTCACGTCGTACTTAAATGACTGAGTGCCTGACATCACTTCCAAGAGCAGCTCCCGATCGATACTCCCCTTGATATGCCCATCTGCGGTCATGTCTCTAGTATCACACCACTGTACGTTATGCGCGATACCTATACCCATGAGCCCACGTATCCAGCTAATATGGCCCAGCAAGGTACGTTAAGTCTGCATCTTGAGGTCTTTGCTGGATAAAGATTTGTATACAGACTCAGCGTCGACAGTAAGGGATACTTGGATAGCTGGGCCTCCAACTTCACGCATATCTCGTAGTTGTCGTGGAGTAAGTGCTCCGGCCTTGAGCTCGTGGAGAGTGATGAGCGTGGGATAACACTCATCAAGATTATGTGCAGCTGCAAGTGCCTCAGCCGCATAGCTGGACCTCACCTGCAGTCGGTGTGACTTGCATAGTCAGTCGCAAAGGTGAACGACGGATTTGCCTTGAGGCGAGTTTCCTCGCCGCAATGCGTTAGCCCCACGAATGCCGTAGCCCTTGGTTTCATCGTCCTCCTCCCCGGTGAGTTTCCGATGCCCCGAATCACTGTGTATGTCAACTTCATTCGTCGGTTTCATCCGAGGGAAAATGATGCGTTTCGGGCTGCTGATCAGCTTTCGCGTCACAGCATTCAGTCGTATGACTTGTAAGTTGGCGGGCTCGTGGATCTTCTGGAGAGAGACCGCATGCACCATAAGCCAGACTTGAGCAAGGAGGGCATAGGCAAGAGCTCCTCGCAGGCTAACGAACACGTCGGTGATAAGTTTGGTAGATTTGGCGTCTGCCGCTGCTCCCGTGAGCTCAGGGTGCGTGATAGGACGTAGTTGTTTAATGTACTCGTCCTGGTCCATGATCGCATCCCCTTGTTCATTCTTCGTTCAGCGAACGGCGCAGTTCGTGTAAGAATGTTTGTTGAGCTTGCATGTGCCAAACACCTTTTCGACGCGTTGAACGTAGTCATCTACGTTTTTCTCTAGGCCGGTCATATTGATGTCATCGACATGTTTTGCCGTTAACAGATCCTGACTGAATTCAAACTCAGGATCGTAGCTTGTCGGTGCGAGGCCTATAGCTCGTGTAGTCGCACGAAGCTTGAGAGAGAACGCTCTTGGGGCGTCCTTTGTGCCCGTTCCTGGCTTGAGGCACCCGAGGCAGTGTCGGCTTTCATCGTAAGAAGAGAAGCCTGGTAGTGTACGAATCACCTGGGCACTTCCTGGTGGAAGGGTGAAGCAGACCATGCGAGTTTCCTCGCCGGTGGCATGAGCAAGTTCCTCATATGTCAGTCCTTTGAGGAACGCTTTGTCGATGTCCATGGATGCTAAGATCCATTCTGGATGACATGCCGCCTCACTTCCCAGAAGCCTCTGGGACTGTCTGCGGGCAGGTTTCTACATCGAAAGCCTCCGTGCCCATGAATCCGCGGAGGACAAGTCTAAGGCGGATGGTTTTAACATTCTCGGTGCCTACTTTCACAAACTTCCACTTGTATACATATCTGGATGTCATGATGTTGGAAGCGTTTGCTAGGTCATACATCTCAAAGCATCGGTTGTCAAGCCAGATCTTGAGTTCGGTGCACAAGGCTTCACTGACCTCTTTAGGATGTGCTGCTATATCGGCTTTGGTGAGGAGGTCGTCTTCCTTGACTACCACAGCACGCTTAGCACCCGTTGATACATATACTCTCATCGTTGCGGCCATGTCTGTTTCAAGCTTTGCAAGTTGAGTCTGACCCCACAATGCCTTTGACATTTCTGGCGTGAAACATAGCTCAACATAGGGACCATATTCGTCACTGTCAAGAGAATAGCCCTCGTCAGGGGTAGTCGAGCATAAAGAGACAAGACAGGGCTCTCGTGGTTCAGGCTCGTCCCCGAGCATCTCCGACACAACGGTATCTTCCTCGTCCACTGATGATGAGACCAAAACACATTGGTCGGGCAGCATGGTTGTTGGGACGCAGTAGAGATAGTCGTCAATAAACGTTGTGGGATGAAGGTCCATGCGTAGCTCATCGTACCACTCCTCCATCATCATAGCCTCGATGTCGTGTTCCTCGCTTTCTTCGTAGATTGCAGACAGGCGACCTTCACTTGGTGATGAAACACCTGGGGTGTCTGGAGGAGGCCTGTCTCCAGGCTGGTTGTGTTCTCCAGACACTGTACCCAAGTGCTGATACTTGGCAAGGTCGTCATGAAATCCTAGGGAAGGAACTTGTGACGTCAGGCACTGGATGAGTCTGGAGTGAGTGCTACCAGTGATTTGAAAGATGTTCAGGCCGGTGCCTACACACTCATAATAATGGAACGCTGGGTTAACATCGCTGTCATAGTGGATCAGTGTGGACCCGGCGGCGTACTTCACTGCAGGTAGATTGGACACGCCCTTGGCCAGTCTCACGGCCACTACACGTTCAACTCGGAAATAGTTTCGCACGAGATACTGCAGTGCAAGGTGCACGCGCGGGTGAAACTTGATGTCGTCGGAAAGATTGAGGTTCCCCTTGTAGTCTGGAATATAGCCAAAGACTTTGGCAGGTTTCCCTGCACCAAGGTGTGCCACATAAGTAAGGACGGTTTGCATGGCCACGTTGTCCATGCCACGTTCCCTGGTGAGAAGGCATTCACTGTATAGCGTGTGGCGAGCATCAGGGCACATCACAAGTACCTCACGCGATCCTGCCTTGACGACGACGTGTCCTCGCTCAGGCACGTTACGAATCACAGGGAACGGGCCATTCCAGCCTCCATGGTCGTCCTTAGTGGCTGTGGGTCGGTGATAATCAACCGAGTCCCCAGCTGAGTATAGGCGAGCACCATCTGGGGCCGTCTTAGCCCTGAGAGCACGATTCGTCTTAGCTACCGCCGTGGCTTGAGTTATTGCTTCCAGGCTAACTTCCCTCACACGGCGTTCGCGTTCGTGGCCTGACGTCTCGGGTCCCTTTGGGAAGTCAAGGGTGTCGAGGTCAGGAAGAAAAGAGGGCTGACGCCCAGTGTGTGCTTGGTAAGGCGATACTCCGTGGTAAAACGTGAAAGCGCTGGTGACGAAGATGCTTTCAGCCAATACTCTAGTAAATGCAATGGGGATGTTGTGTCCGTTCAGCTCTTCTTCCTCAATCATATGGAGAGTGCCCCTAAAAATGCCGAGGCGTGACTCGATCGAGGTCGTGTGCTGGCCAGGCGCTCGGATACGAAGTGTCGCACCTTTGTTCGCCATCATGGCCTTGGCAGTTTCATTGTTGAGGGCACCTTCTCCATCTGAATACAAAACTTTGAAGGGTCCATGATAGGCGATCCAGCAGTAGTGGTAAGCGTCGAGTATAGTGTCACGTTCTCTATCAGGAATTTCTTGGCCTGCTGCCAGGCGGATACATCGGTCCATAGTATGCAATATGGTCCGTTTCTTGTAGAACATGAGATCTACTTCGCCTTCGTCAAGCCAGTTTCCAGGAAGGTTTACGGAAGGCAGCGTAGAAGTACCTGGACGTTCCCATGCTCTACATTCCCGACATGTGTCACAAATTTATTTGAGCATATTTAGTCGAACGCTATCCAGCCCCACTTCATCTAGGATCAGCCTCATCTAGGGTTCCTTCGCATGATACCACCGAAAACTCAGTTAGTGGAGTTCCTTTTAGACTACGTGAGGTCCGCGACTACGGAGGTTTTGCAGACTGTGTCGGATGTCAAATCTCGCCCAATCGGGCAGTCGTGGGGCCCCCGAGCCGGTTGAGGCAAGAGGGTTCCTCGTAGCTCTCCGCAGTCGGTCTCCTTCATCAACTGCATCTGGTGGTGGGGGTGCGCCTTGTAGGCGACCGCGGCGGGCCGCTACTTGTGGCGGCTCGCCCGAAGACGCGGAGGGCGTGTTTCCACGCTCGGGCGCGTCTCGCAGTATGTCATAACTGCTGGCGCCAGATGCAGGATCAGTGCCCCCAAAGGCGCGTGGTCGCGGTGGCCTGGCGTGAGCGCCCTGACGGCCGCCCGATGCCGAGGCTTGGCCCTCCCCAGGCTTGGGTAAGGGTTTCCACCATGCTGGCACATTGCGGCCCTCGGGATCGTGATCATCTGGGAGTTTGAACGGCTCGGCAAAGCGGCACTTGCCGGGCTCAGTGTCGAGGTGGTGCTTAACGCCCCTGCTTCTCGTAAGATCCCTTTGGCATGCAGGGCATGGCCAGTATACAGAGATAGAGTCATGATACTTACACTGTGTAGGATCTCTGTTGTGGCTGGGACTGTCCTTTCGGACATTGTCGATGCATGCTGGGCATGTAGCCACCCTTGGGATGATGCGATCGCC